CACCCCCCCGTCCCGCCACAACATGGCGTCTCCCTTCTAGCGCTCGCGCCATAGAGCGGGCACCCGTTCCCTAGACAGTACCCACCGGAACCATAGAGTCGGAGGGGGTTCACGGGCTAGACTGTATGGGCTGGGTCCTCCCAGGCAGGGCGGACCATAGAGATGGCTCTGTGTGTAGACAATACCACCCGCAACCATAGAGAGGAGGGGCTGTCTGGTCAGTGGCTGCTAGAGTGTACACCTCTAGGGCCGCCCACACTCAGGCCCCGCCCCCTTCTGCCCATGACGTCACCGCTGGCCCTACAGCCAGCCCAGTTGCGCAGGGAACCCCGGGAAACCACAGAGACGCGTGTGGGGGAGGCTAGAGTGTACCCCTGGTCCTCCAAACAGCTGTTCACACCCCTGAAACAATAGTCAACACGCTAGCCACTGGGGCCCTCCCGTGAGCCACGGCATTCCCAGGCAACATGCTAGCCACTGGGGCCCTCCCGTGAGCCACGGCATTCCCAGGCAACATGCTAGCCACTGGGGCCCTCCCGTGAGCCACGGCATTCCCAGGCAACATGCTAGCCACTGGGGCCCTCCCGTGAGCCACGGCATTCCCAGGCAACATGCTAGCCACTGGGGCCCTCCCGTGAGCCACGGCATTCCCAGGCAACATGCTAGCCACTGGGGCCCTCCCGTGAGCCACGGCATTCCCAGGCAACATGCTAGCCACTGGGGCCCTCCCGTGAGCCACGGCATTCCCAGGCAACATGCTAGCCACTGGGGCCCTCCCGTGAGCCACGGCATTCCCAGGCAACATGCTAGCCACTGGGGCCCTCCCGTGAGCCACGGCATTCCCAGGCAACATGCTAGCCACTGGGGCCCTCCCGTGAGCCACGGCATTCCCAGGCAACATGCTAGCCACTGGGGCCCTCCCGTGAGCCACGGCATTCCCAGGCAACATGCTAGCCACTGGGGCCCTCCCGTGAGCCACGGCATTCCCAGGCAACATCCTGGTCAATGGGACTGTGTCATGAGCCACGGCATTGCCAGGCAACATGCTAGCCATTGGGGCCACGCCATAAGCAACGGTGTTGCCAGGCAACATGCTAGCCATTGGGACCCTCCCGTGGGCCACGGCGTTGCCAGGCAACATGCTAGCCATTGGGGCCCTCCCGTGAGCCACGGCATTGCCAGGCAACATGCTAGCCACTGGGGCCATGCTATGAGCCACGCCATTCCCAGGCAACATCCTGGTCAATGGGACTGTGCCATGAGCCACGGCGTTGCCAGGCAACACGCTAGCCACTGGGGCCATGCTAT